GCTAATTTTTTGATTTATTGTAGAGACGAGGTCTCACCATGTTGCCCAGGCTGGTCTTGAACCCATGGTCTCAGGCAATCCTCTCTCCTCGGTCTCCCAAAGTACTGGGATTATAGGCATAAGCCACCACGCCTGGTCTAAAACCAGACATTTAAAATAGTGAACTGGCCAGGCACGATGGCTTGCGCCTATAATCCCAGCACTTTGGGAGACCAAGGTGAGAGGATTGCCTGAGCCTACGGGTTTGAGATCAGCCCAGGAAACTTGGCAAGAACTCTTCACTACAATTAAAAAAAAAAAAATTAACTGAGCATGGTGGTGCATGCCTGTAGTTTCAGCTACTTGGAAGGTTGAGGCAGAAGGATCACCTGAGCCTGGCAGGTGGAGGCTGCGGTGGCTGTGAGTATGCCACTGCACTCCAGTCTGAGTGACAGAGTGAGACTCCAACTCAAAAAAATAAGAAATAAAAATAAAATAGTATACTATCTACTTCACAATAGATGCCATTTTGCCGTCATACAAAAGAATATGCTTACACAAAACTAGATGGTCTGGCTAGACCATCTGCACACCTGGGTTAGCTGGTCTAGCCTATAGCTCCCAGGCTACAGACCTCCATAGCATGGCACTCTTCTGAATAAATTGTAATACAGTGGTAAGTATCAGTGTATCTAAACATAGAAAAGGTATGGTAAGCCAAACTCAGTGGTTTACACCTGTAATCCCAGCACTGCGGGAGGCTAAGGTGAGAGGATTGCCTTAGTCGGGGTTTGCGACCAGCCTGGGCAACTTGGCGAGACCTCTTCTCTACAGTAAATCAAAAAATTAGGCAGGTATGGTGGCATGTGCCTGTGGTTTCAGCTACTTGGAAGGTAGAGATGGAAGGATCACCTAAGCCCAGCCAGTTGAGGTTGTGGTGGCTGTGAGCGTGCCCCTGCACCAGCCTGGTCAACAGAGTAAGACTCCAACTCAAAAAAAAAAGGTACAGCAAGAATTCAGCATTGTGATCTCTTTTTTCTTGCTTTCTTTTCTTTTTTCCAGTTGGAATCTCATTCTGTTGCCCAGGCTGGAGTGCAGTGTCATGATCATTGTTTACCTCAGTCTCCAACTCCTGTACTCCAGAAATCCTCCGGCCTCAGTCTCCCAAGGAGCTGGACTACAGGCACACACACCACCATGCCCAGCTAATTTTTTTTCTTTTTTGTGGAGACAAGGTCTCACTATGTTGCCCAAGTTGGTCTCCTTCTGCCTCAGCCTTCCAAAGTGCTAGGATTACAGGTATAAACCACCATGCCTGGGAAGCATTGTAATAATCTGGGGCCACGGTCATATATGTTCAGCATTGACCGAAATGTCATCGTCATGCTGTGTGTGACTGTGCACTTAACTAAAATGATAATAAATGCTGCAAAGGAATTGTGGAGACTATAATCATATAATAGGACATAATTTAGGGGGGATCAGAAAAAGCATCTCTGAAAAATTACAAGTAAACTGAGATTTGAAGAGTAATGGAGTGGGGTGGGGAGGATTAGCCAGACCAAGGGTGCAGTAAGGGTGTCGCTGTGGGAGGGGAAGGGAATCCAAGAAGACTCTGAGGCAGGCAAGCTCTTGGTTGGTTGAGGAACTGGGAGAATTAGAAGACAAGATTGTCAGGATGTACCTAGCAAGGGCAGAGTGAGATCAGAAGACTTATAGCCCCTCTTGTGATGTCAGACTTTGTCCTAAGGCCGTAAGGTCACTGGAGGGTTTTAGGCAGCATGAGAAAAAACATGCAGTCTGCAGTGTGACATGTACCGTGAAAAGGGGCTGTCATGTAAGCAGAGAGAGCAAACGTAATAGAGGTTTGGGGTTATGAGCTACGGGAGGTGACAGTCTTTGAGAAATGGACTGGATTGGCCTTGACGTTGAATTGGATTAGAAAGGGAAGTGTTGGAAGGATTCAGGGCTCTGCTGTTAACTAGCTGGTGCCCATTCACCAAAGAGCACCAGAAGTGAAACACGTTTGGGAATGGCTGAGTTTCCATATGGAGTGAGTAGAGTTTCAGACATGAAATAGGCAGGAGGATCGGTGGGTCTGGTTCGCAGAAGAGGGGACCAGGCTGGGCGTCGTGGGCACTTTGGCCAGTGCAAAGGCATTGGGAGTGCCCAGGGTGAGTGTGGACAGTGAAGAAGGGCCCGGAAGAGCCCTCTGTGTGTCCCAGCTCTCTCTCCCTCCCAGCAGCGAGTGCAAAGAAAGGGTATCACTGGCCAGGACTCTGGCACTGTCCAGTGTACATGCCAAGTTTCCAGGCCAGAACATTTTGCTGTTATAAATACAACATAAAACCAGAAACCTTCCCAGCCCTTGCTGTCTCCATAAGAGCTGCTACCAAACCCAACTGATACTCATAACCCCTAAACCTTATCAGTCATTGTGCTTTAATACATTACCTCTACTAACCAAACCAGACACATTGCCCTCCTCCAATACAATAAGTCCCCTCTGATCAGTATGTCACCATGTACCCCCAACTACACTGGGTGATTATTTTTATCTGTGTCTATTATTTATTTGATGATAATTTTAAAAGCAAATATTTAAATTTCTCTGTCCCTCAACTTTTTTGCCTCCTTATAGCGGTTAATTAGTCTGACCAAAAACTGGATAGATTTCTCTCATTTCTGTGAATGTAATGAAAGTGGAAGATGCCTCATTCCTGCCCCTCACAGCGTAGAATCCTGACCCCAGGGGACAGAAAACTACGGATTCTGGACTCTGATATCCCACAGGTGGACTCTCCAAGGTTCTATAGCCTCAATAACTGTTCTTCCTCCTCCCTGTCTTCCCTGGTGGCATTGAATAATTAACTGACACACTGCTGATCTCAGAGAGATTCAGCAGGAATGAAATGAGTGAACACATCTTATTGTTTAGTGACTTCTTAAAACTGATGCTACATTACTCAGAATGGTTGCAGTATATTTTATATACACTATGTTAATTGACCAATATGAAGACCCTTTTTAACATATAAATCGACAACTTGGACCATTAGTCCTTGGGAAGAGTGTCAAGTACATCAGGTAGGTTCAACTGAATCTGAAAATGCCACAAAATCCTACATAATCCAATGGGCACAAACTGTGCTTAATAGCACAGACCACCAAATATTTGCCAATATTCAAGAAGAGCACTTGATATTCTATAGCATCAGAGAAGACATGATGACTCTAAGTCGCTCACTTGTAAAGCAAACATTAACTGCAATCCTTCACGAATGCCTTTGAGGCCAGTTCCTCAGCTGGGTCCATGTCTGTGCCCAGAGTCAGGATAAATCAGATCATTGGCTGCAGGGTATTTCAAATGTGTGCAGCAAATTTTTAAACTGACACTTCAAGAACCAGCAGAGAGATGGGAACAAAATTGAACGCAAATGTGTTATGCTGTTTTTTTATTTGGAATCATAAGAGAAACATTTTTAATAAACTCTTAAATTCTTCTCCATTAATGTGATTTAAGTAATGAATCCATAAAGATTGACTTGATTTGTTTATATACACTCAACCATAGAAAGATGACATTCTTTTTCTGTTTACACCATCAAATCCAATCAAGCCAAACGAGATGGTTAACTGAAATGATTAATGAATACAGCATTAGCTGATGGCTTTGAATTTAGAATGCGTTACTGATGTCAGGGCTGATTAGTTCTCTATCTAAAACTGGTGCTATTAAAAGCTTTGAGCAATTTAGATGTTGTCATTGAGTAAAAGTTCCAGCGGGGGTGAGAGAAATCCTATCAGGATTGATCCTGCCATGGTGCAGCATGTGCACATATGTTGTAGAAAGAGAGTAGCCTTTGCTGATGGGATAGGATGAAAAAACAGGAGGCAGAGGGGCTTCTCAAGAGGATCAGTCACAGCCAATGCAAAGAAGCCTGGAGTTTAAAAAAATACTCATCTTTGCACGAGGAATCCCAAATGGCATATGGGTATGAATATTGATCATTTCAGTTTCAGGACTTTTCAAGAAGAGGGAAAAAATAAATAAAGGAGAGGCAAGAAGTTAATATAGCACCATGCTTTAATAACTCCTCGCAAAATGAATCCACAGGGAAATCATTGCGGTCAGAGTTGAAGACCAATGTCGTTATTAATAAGATAAAAGGAAGGAGTGATAAAGCAAAGGTGGTCGTCAGATGGAATGATGACGTGTCATGAGCACTGGAGGACCACAAAAGGAAACTGGAGTGATGATGCCAGTCGAATTGCAAGGTCAGAGTCATGCTAAAAGGTTAAAATGAATCCAATCCTGGGCTATTGCCCAGGACTTGGGGAAATCAAGTCGTTGCAAGTAGCTGTGACTTAAGGAAGGTGTACATTTGGGGACCTTAAACCATTTCCAATGTCGGTGCCTCTGAAATATTTTATTATTGGTCCAAATGTCCCAAGACATTTTAAATAGAAGGGAAAATGCACTTTACTGAACCCAAATTCTCTGGATACTTAGATTCTATCTCTGTCCAGGGACATGGGAGAGAGGATCTGTCTGTGGGTCAAATCAGACTGGAAGGTTCTTATTATTATTCATGCAGCTTGGCGAGCTCTAGGAAAAAGGCAGCAAATAATTTGGATCCCTCTATGTAGTTCCACCTAATTAAAAAAGAGAGAGAAACTTTGTTACAATTGTCATTCAAAGAAGAAAGAAAAATATTCTAGCCAGGCTCGGTGGCTCAGCCTGTAACCCCGCGCCTTTGGGAGGCTGAGGTGAGTGGATTGCCCGAGCCCGTGGGTTCGAGACCCGCCTGGGCAACTTGGTGAGACCTCATCTCTACAATAAATCAAAAAATTAGCCGGGCGTGGTAGCGCACGCCTGTAGTTCCAGCTACTTGGAAGGCTAAGCGGAAGGATCGCCGGAGCCCAGCAGGTCGAGGCTGCGGTGGCCGGGAGCGGCCACTGCACTCCAGTCTGGGCGACTGAGTGAGACTCCAACTCAAAAAAAAAAAAAGAAAAGAAAAGAAAAGAAAAATATTCTATCATTTAGGCAGGATGATTTGATGTTATAAATTTGATCTAAGCTATATAATGTACTTCTGAGATCCCGGTATGAAAGGCACTTGCTAAATTCAGCATGTAAATTGCGTTATTATTAAGAAGATGGGAATCACTCCTCGACCCAAATCCAAAAGTCCATTTTCTTTAGTTTCTTATCATTGACATGACATAGATATTAGAGTCAAACACTTTCTTGTTTCTCACTAGTCTGGGAGGCTTAGGAGATTTTGTAATCTGCCAATAGTGTACATCAAATGTTCTCATATATCATTTGTTATGGACTGAATGTTTGTGTTCCCTCCAAATACATATGTTGAAGCACTAGGCCCTAAGTGCCTATATTTGGAGACAGGGCCTGAAAAAGATGATAATGAGGTCAGAAGCATGGGTCCTAATCCAATAGGGCTAGTGCCCTTTTAGAAAGGGAAAGAAGCCGGGCTTGGTGGCTCAGCCTGTAATCCCGCGCCTTAGGGAGGCTGAGGTGAGTGGATTGCCTGAGCCTGCGTGTTCGAGACCCGCCTGGGCAGCAAGACCTCATCTCTACAATAAATCAAAAAATCAGCCAGGTGTGGTAGCACACGCCTGTAATTCCGGCTACTCGGAAGGCTGAGGCAGAAGGATCGCCAGAGCCCAGCAGGTCGAGGCTGCGGTGGCCGGGAGCGGCCACTGCACTCCAGTCTGGGCGACAGAGTGAGACTCCAACTCAAAAAAAAAAAAAAGAAAGAAAGAAAGAAAGAGAAAGAGGCGGGTGCGGTGGCTCACGCCTATAATCCCAGCACTTGGGAGGCAAGGCTAGTGGTTTGTCTGACCCTGCGGGTTGGAGACTAGCCCGGGCAACTTAGCAAGACCTCATCTCTCAAAAATTAGCCGGTGTGGTATTGCGCGACTACAGTTCCAACTACTTGGAAGGCTGAGGCAGAAGGATCGTCTGAGCCCAGCTGGTTGAGGTTGCAGTGGCCGGGAGTATGCCACTGCCCTCCAGCCTG